GTTCTAATTGCTTGTCCATCTAGCCTTGTGGTTTTTCCATGCTACCCTCAACCCTGTAAGGCCACAGTAAATTATTCAGGATGGTAATATAGCTGGCTTATTAAAGAAGCTGGAAACCTCGTTGTTCCAGTGTGATTCTTCTGGAAGACTCTCTGCCTCTCTTTCCTCCAGCATCTACTCTAACACATACACGCACGCACACACACACACACACACACACACACACTGCACTCACTATTCACCCTTTGCATGTAGCCCTAACTTCTTTGGGCTACCTTTTATCTCCGCATCCAGGGCAAACACCACAAGTTGTCTACCCAGTTTACAACAGCAGTCTCCCTTTTCCCTTCAGAGCAGAGATTATTGGGGGCAGCATTGAACCAGCTGAAATTTACTTCATTTCCCAGACTCTGTCTAATTCCATTGGGAGCTGCATGTGGAGTCAGATCTCTCTCTTCCATTATCTAGGGGCAAAATGGCATCCCAGGGACTTTAGAGCTCTGACCCCCACCCCAGTCTGCACCCATGGGAGAATGAACTGCAGAGTTCTTGTGTCCCTGAAGACACACTTCCCTCTTTCTTTCCAACACTCAGTCTCATCACTGTATCTTCCTCAAGCCTTCTGAGGCTGATTTCAATACATACCTTCTCCCAGTCTATACTTTTCTGCTCTCAAATCCCCACATGCTGTGTATTTAGCCCCTCCAGCTTTCTATTTCTACGCCTGAAGTCTTCCTATTGCTCCAAAATCCTTGTGCTTTCTGGAATTCACAGTCAGGTGCTACAGTTGCCTGTATCGAATCCTCTTCTCTGACGTTCCCTGTGCCATCTTGTTCTTGGACCTTCCCTGGGGACCCAACTTCCCCTGTGGCCTGTCTCAAGTGGTGGCTGTTTTCTCTGTCAAACCACTTGTACTCCAAGTTGGGAAAATGCCCTCTTTCCTTCTCACTGCTGCTTCCAGAACTTCCTCCCACCATTCTTCCCCAACTGCCTCAGTATTTACTCAGATGATATCTTCTCTCCTTGTGTGACTCAGAATCATGGGTCTCTCTCTCTCCCTCGTTCCTTAAGGATTTTAACCATGCCATTAGTAATAACTGCTTGCTTCATAATGTCCATTTCAAACATCCCAATCTCTGACCACCACCTCCAAATTTCCAGGTCACCCTCTTTAGTACCCTAATGCCAGTGACACTTTGTCACACCAAGATACAATCTGATGATTATTCTACCTTTTCATGCCCCTCATTACTACTTTGTTCTCACTTTTAAAAAAATTCCGTGGACAGTTATCATAGTTTCCTGGCATATACCCTCAAGAGAGCATCCCTGGTTTCTCTCAGTTACACTCATTTGGCTAAATCACACTCTCGTGAATCTACTTCTTATTTCATACTGAATAGCTACCCTGATGACTTCATATAATTGGAGTAAAACAAGCATTCAATGACTTCATTTCAAATTCGTGACACTAACTTCAAGTTAATGCTTCTTCAATATTGTATTACGCACCCCTGTCCCGTCCAACCTCCTCCTTTTCTAGATTATGTAGTATTTTTTTTCTCTTAAGCCTCCAGTGTCTCCTCACTACCTTCACTCTCAGCCTGTGACTGTGGTTCTTATTTCACTGAGAAATAAAGGCAATAAGAAGAGAGCTTCCAAATGCTCCATCACCAAGGGAAAGGCCGCCTTCCAGGTGAAGTGCCCATTTCACCAGGGCTCTGTCCTGTTGTGATGGCTACAGCTGTCCCTGAATCTGGCGAAAGCTAGCCCCTAGGTTCCATCCCCTCTTGTCTACTTTCCCATGTCTTGTAAAATTCTCCCTGCTTCTAGGATCACATCCATCAGTGTCCAAGACACTGTTATTTTCCTCCATCTTAAAAAAAAAAAATCTCTCTTGACCCCACCCCCATTCTAGTTTCTGCCTCATTTTTCTGTTTTCTCATATAGCAAAGCTCCTAGAAAGAGTTGTCCGAACTTCCTGTCTCTAAGTCTTCTTCTGGTATCTCCTGAATCTACTCCAAATCAGCTTTCACCTACATCGCATTACCAAAGTCACCAAGTCACCGTTGTCCCTTCAATGCATTCAACAGTTGATCTCTCTCATCAACTTGACTTCCCTCCTTCCTTTCCAGGACTCTGTTTGCTCCTAGAGGGCCTCCTCCCTCACCAGCAAACCTGTCTCAGCCTCCTGTAGGCTTCTGTGCCTGCCGATGTGGAATGTCCTCCGGCTACCTCTGTGCACATGGTCCTGGTCATTTCTTCAGATAAATTCTTAAAAGTACTTTTTATGAGTCAATGGATTTTCACTTCTAAATGCAAATCTAATTCCTGCACAATTTGGAAAACATAGGAAAAGTACAAAGAAATAAGGCAAAAAATCTTTCAAGAATCTCATTTCCACCTATGACTAATATTTTGTTCTTCCTTTTTTGTCTTCTCTATAGGTACATATCTACTCACGTGTTATGCAGTATAAATCCACATATGTATACATATAATACACAAGTACCATTCTCTATGTGGGTATATATATTATAGATAGATAAATATAGATTCATATATTTTCCATGATATGTTTTGCTATTACAGTAAATTTGTATGATATAATTACCACATGTATAAATATATGCAAATATGTTTTCTTTGTAGACAATCAACTAATTAGTTGTAGAAACCACGTTTTGGAGTTTAGGGAAACTATGCTGCATTTAAAAAACAAAACTGAAAACAACCGTCAGGAGCTGATAAAAGCCTTGAATCAGATGAAGTATGAAATTACACTGAGAGAGAATGAGTCCAGAAGCTTAGGTTTGTGTTGCTTTTCTTTTTGTGTATGGTGGTTTGTTGGTTTTAGGTTTTGTTTTTTGGAGATTTTGATTTAAAGCCTTCTGATTTTAGGGCATTTTGCCTTGATTAAACACAACGAACTGGTACCCATTCTTTTATTGGGGGACATACAGAAATCAGGTAAGAGATTATCACGGATTCACTCTCATCTCTACCTTGACGATGCTCTTCCTATTTTCTGTCTCTGAATTGTGCCTTCCTGGATCCACCCTACAGATGCAGCCGTAGACCTGGGCATCACCTGTGAGCCCACCTGCTCCCTCTTGCTCACTTCCAGTCAGGCAGCACACAATTCTCTTGATTCCTCATCCTGCACATCCCACAAGTATGCCCGCATTTCCCCCCGCCCTCTCCACTACACCAGTCAGCCCCGTCATGCCTCATCTGAATCACCCATACTCCTGATTTTTCTCTCTTCTCTTCAGTCTTGTTCCTACCTATTTATATTGACTTTAACCAAAATGTAGACGACACCTTCAGTGGCTTCCCATCTCTGCAAGATAAAAATCCCTGCCCTGTGCTTTCCCTGGATAGTCAAGCCTTCCCCCCATTCTCAACCCCTGGCAGATTGTTTATCCTTTCACCAATTGAGGGTGTTCTGAGTTTTCAGCTATTACAAAGAACTGTTGCTGTAGATTCACATACATTTTTTATGAAGATAAGTTTTCATTATTTTGGGATTATTACCTAAAAGTCAGGCTGATGGGGCATATGGCAAGTGCATGCTTTACTTGTAAGAAACTGCCAGACTTGTCAGAGCAATGGCACATGCCTACACTCCCGGCGACTCAGGAGGCAGGGGCAGGAGAATCACAAGTTCAATGCCAGCCTAAGCAACTTAGTGAGACCCTGTCTCAAAATTAAAAATGAAAAGTGCTGGGGATGTGGCATAGTGGTTAAGCACCTCTGGGTTCAATCCCTGGAACCAAAAAGAAAATAAACTGATAGATTTTTTCCATAGTGCATGTGCCATTCTGAATTCTCTACAGCAACGTATGAGAGTTCAGTCACTCCAGTTTATTACAGCCCTGCTAGGGTTAGAAGATCTCAGTTTTAAGTTCTATTTCCTCAGTGGCTAATGATGTTGAACATTTTTCCATTTTCTGTTTTTTTTTTTTTTTGGCCATTCATCATCTTTGAAGAAATATATTTTCAAACCCTTTTGCCCATTTTTTAAAATTGACTAGTTTGTTTTCTCATTGAGCTTTGATAATTCTGTATATTAACCAAATATATGTCAGATGAATATGTGAATTGGAAACATTTTCTTCCAGTCTGTGGCATGTCTTTTCATTTTCTTTAGAGGGAAAATATTTGATGAAGACTAATTATCAATTTTTCTATTGTGTACTGATTTATTTGGTTAGTTATTTATTTGTTCTGTGTTGTATCTAAGACCTCTTTATGTAGCTCAGGGTCATGAATATTTTGTTTTTAAATTTTTCATAGTTTTTATGTTTTACATTCATGTTTTTTACTTTTTTAAAAATTTATTTATTTATTTATTTGTGGTGCTGAGAATTGAACCCAGTGCCTCACATATGATAGGTAAGCAATCTACCACTGAGCCACAATCAAAGTCCCTGTATTTTACTTTTTTAATAAATATTTTTTAGTTGTAAATGGATTTTTTTTATTTTATTCATTTATTTATATATGGCCCTGAGGATTGAACCCAGGCCCTCACACATGCCAGGCAAGTGCTTTACCACTGAGCCACAACTCCTCCTGTTTTTTACTTTTTTTAAAGATAATTTTTAGAAGTGATATAAAATATAGACAAAGGTTTGATATTTTTTTCCCACATGGATGCCCAAGTGTTCCAGCACGTTTTTGTTAACTGTATATTTTTTGCATTGATTGCTTTGCACTTTGAATTTGAATTACCAGAAGTCAGCATATTATCTGGCAGAGAAAAAAAATAACTCCATAAATGTTTAGTGACTTGAATTCCAAAATCAATCAACCAGGACTGGGGACAGAGCTGGGTTGAGGAGCAATTGCCTGGTAGATAGGCAATCCTTAGCACTGAAAAAAAAAAAAAAACCCTCACCTACATATTTATGAATCTATACTCTGTTCCACTAGTCTACATATCTATTTGTATATAATACCATACTGCTTTGATTTCTGAATTATGTATATCAGTTAAAATTGGATTGTGTGAGGTCTCCAAGGTATTTTTTTTTCAGAATTATAGAAGAAAATTCTAATGAATAGTACAAATTGGGTCATTAAGGGACTATATAAAACAAAGTTATAAAGATACAAACTTTGCCAAAATGATGTGAATCAAAGTAACAGAGGAAATCATATGTAATAGGTTTTAGTTTTATTTCCTTGATTTGGAAATGACAGTTGATGTAGCTCATTGTACTAGGCTTAAATTAAATATTGCTTTAAAAATAAATATTAGTCACTAATATTAGAGCTATACATTATAGTATTTTGATTTTGATAATTCTCATTTAAGAGTATATTTCTCCTGAATACTAAATTAATCTGGATTAATTTACTAATCCCCTTTTTAAAAATATATCACGGGGGAAAAATCCCTGTGGCTATTAACTCAGAAGCACTATATTTCTTCTCTTAGATGAGAAAATGGTTACCCCGAGTGAGAATGAAACAGCATCTAATAGATTTGAAGCCTTGAAGTTCTTTTTTCCACATCTAAGGAAAGTTGCCAGGGTCTATCCTGATGTAATCATTGGCAAAGGGAAAAGAGATGGTAAGAAAACTTGAAATTGAAAAATTCAATGCAAATATTTTGGTGTTTTGGGATGTATATTTAAGTTTGAAAGTATAATTGGTGTTTTGGGATGTATATTTAAGTTTGAAAGTATAATCCATTACTGTCATACTCAAATTGATTTGTAGGCCACAGTCTATCTGACAGTAACTTGAACTACCAGCAAATTTTCTGACAAATAATTCCATAAATGTTTAGTGATTTGAATTTAAATTCAATCTTAATTCACAAGCTTTGAAAATAAGTCAATATGAATCAAATATACATAAAACCTCTGCTAAGTGCTTGACAAATCTGTTCTCCCTGGTTTTGATAAAAGCTTTTCTTAGCTGGTTATTTTCCTATTTTCCTACCTTTCTTGGGGTCAGAAAAAGCTTTACAGAAGGGGTGATGTTTGAGTTCAATCCTGAAGACTGAGTTCAAATTCACCAGGTATATACATAATAAGAAAAATTACTAGAGGTTGAAGCAGAAATATTAGGCCAAGTCTCCGAATAAGAAAAATTACTGGAGGTTGAAGCAGAAATATTAGGCCAAGTCTCCGAATGCCTGACATCTCATAAATCTCATTCATTTCAGAGAGTGAGTAACTTTACATATAGTGAGTGATTTTACATATAGGTTCATAGGAACATAACCATTTTCATTCATTTACTTATTATCTATGTCTGTTTCTGTACGAGATTACCATGAAAGTATTTATAACAGAGACAGTATGTTAGTGTTCATTTACTGTAACAAAACACCTGAGATAATCAAAAAGAGGAAGGTTTTGTTTTGGCTTGCAGTCCAGAGTCTTGTGTCCTATTCTATTAGGGTCTGTGATGAGGCAGCACATCATGGACAAGAACACCTGGTGGAACAAACTTCTCACCTCATGGCAGCCAGGAATCAAAGAGGGAGACAGCAAGGGATGGGAGTCTAATATCCTGTTCAAGAGCACACCCCCGTGACTGCAAAGCCTCCTGCTAGGCTCTACCTCTTAAAGGTTCTATCACCTCCCAAGACCACCAGGGACAGAGAACCAAGCCTTTAACATCTGAGTCTTGGGACATGGCTTGACCCAAGAGTCTAATATGTTGAGTGACTCTTCACAGAACAGACTTGCCAACCCTCCTGCTCTAGACAGCTCCTGGAGATCAGGCCGGCTCTGTGTCACATGCCTCTGACATGTGATCCAAGCCTCTGTGTTGGGATTAGGATGCCACGTGGTGTTCTTCAACATCTGATGGGTTCCTTCTGTGTCCCCCATGCTAACTTCTGTGCTTTCTGTCATTATGCCACTGAATCTGCTCTGTCCAATACAGTCATCCAGATGATTATTGCCATCTTCCTTTTCACACCTGAGAAAGTTGAAGTTTAGGGAGATTAAAGAGCTTTTTGAATTTATACTTATCAAACTCTTTAACTTCAATCTGGGAATAATTTGAATAAAGCATTTAAAATGTACCTAGGAGCACAGGAGGTATAGCTCAATGGCTGAGGGATTTCCAGCATGGGTGAGGCCCTGGATTTGATCCCCAGCAACAACAAAACAAAACAAATAAAAATAAAAATAACACAAAAACACAAAATTGTTTTTCCCCCTAAGGCTTGGGAAGCCTTTCCCCAAATTAAATAGATGGTAGATCCCTCCGCTTCATTCCTGCCTCACAGCATCCAGTGAAGATCAACTGTAGCTGAATCATATTTCCAAATCTGAAAGGCAAACAATAAGTCATCTAGAAGATAACTCAGGAGAATGTCTTCATGACTTGAAGATAAGCAAAGGTTTCTAAACAAGAGCCCCAAAGTGTGAACTATAAAGAAAATCATTGCTACATTGTACTACATAAAAATGAAGAATTTCTCTCCATCAAGAGGCAAAACATTGAAAAGGGACTCCAGAGTGTAAGATGATATTTATAACACACATAACTGACAAAAGGATCATATTCAGAATCTGTAAAGAGCATCCATACTTCAATTTTTAAAATGCAGATACCTCAGTAGAGAAATGGGTAAGGGCTTAAACAGGGATTTCTCAGAACAGGAATCTAAAGGCCAACAAACATATGAAAACGTGTCCAGACTCAAAAGTAATCAGTGGAGCTGGGCAGGCAGCACATGCCTATAAGGCTGAGGCAGGAGGACTGAGAGTTCAAAGCCAGATGCAGCAAAAGTGAGG